CTTCCTCTTCCTCTTCCTCTTCCTCTTCCTCTTCCTCCCATTGCTGATTGATATGCCACCTAAAGGCTTACTTTTAGCTTAGTTATCTCATTACAAGCCCTGTCTGTAAATACAGTCATATTCTGAAGTAGTGGGTATTTGAACTTCCAAATACGAATTTGGGGATGGGACACAATTCATCCCTTGACAGTCTTGTGTTTGCATTCTGTCTCCCAACTAGAATGTAACCCTCATATACTTGAGGAGGTTTTGTTGTTGGTAGAGACTAATTCATTGTTATGTGTTCAACACTTACAACAGTGCCTAGCACGTAATAGATACTCAGTAAATAAATATGCATGCTAGCTCTGTAATGAATTATTGCTTCAATATAATGAAGAGTCATACTCTTTCTCATTAGTTTATTATTATTTAATTAGTGTAGAGCTCTCTCAGATTCTCTGCATTATCGTTTACCTCTCTCTCTCTCTCTCTCTCTCTCTCTCTCTCTCTCTCTCTCTCTCTGAGGTACTGGGGATTGAACTCAGGACCCTGCACTTGCCAGGGAAGCACTTATTCTACTGATCTATCTCCTCTCCCCAACCCCTCTTTTACTTCTCTTAATTGAATTTTGGACCCATTGATAGGTCCTGCATATCTTATTTTCAGTCAGTTTCTTGTTCTAATTGGGGGGGGGGTTTCAGCCTTACATTTCAAACACTTCTATAGAGCATTCTTTATTTTGGCAAACTTTTTTTTTCCCCCAGAACCGAGGATTGAACTCAAGCCCTTGCGCTTGCCAGGGAAGCACTTATTCCACTGTGCCATCTACTTGGCCCCACACTGGTTTGGCAAACATATGTCAAATTTCCAAGAGCTATTTTAGTCTTTCCTATGGCATTCTGTTGTTTCATAGGTGTCATGTATTTGTAGATCTTTCTGCAGTTTTTGGTCCTTGTTTCTCCTATGTTCCCTGAAGGTTTTTTTTTTTTTAATTTAGTATTTTTTTGTTGTTGTTGCCTGTTGTTTTGTTTGTGTTATTTCACTTGTGCATTTACTAAGTATTTCTTCTTATTAACTTTCCAGTAATTTTTGAATATACATTTTTATTTTGTAGTGAGACAATAATGTACTAGAGGTTTATTTCAAAGGTGGTGACTTTTTTGTGGTGATTTCACTTCATAATGACTTGGCTGTAACCCTAAAGTCTTCCTTCAATGTGCATTTCAGAGGTCTTTGTTTTGGGGGCCAGCGTGCAGAGTGGCTCTTAGGTCACCCCAAATAATTTATTCCATCTTTTTAGTAAAGACTGTTACAATGTGGATCTAAAATATGCCCCAGGGATCAGCTGATGGGCTTTTAGGAAGTCTGATCATGAGGTTCGAACCTCATTAAGAGACTAATCCATTATTGAGTTCATGGCTAAATAACTAGTAGGAGAGGCCTGGTTGGAAAGACTGGTTCTGGTTGTCCTGGGTTCCTGACCTTGGGGGCTGCATCTGGCTCCTGGACTCGTCCTCTCTGGCTCTTCATGCTTTCTCTTTGCTTCCTGCCTGCCACAAGAGGAGCTTGCCTCTGCTGTACCCTTCCACTTGCTATTGGCCTCACCAGAGTCCTTAGGGAGTGATACCAGTTGACTGAAACTATAACCTTGAGAAGAAATAAATTTTTTCTCTTTTAAGTTGCTTTATGAGATATTTTATCATAACAAGAGAAAGCTGATGAATGCAAAAACCTTCAACCTTTTTCCTATTTACCCAACTTGGTATATATAGAGTATAGAATCAGTGAATTTTTATGAATGCTTTCAATTAATATATTTGTTTTCACTTTTATTCTCATTAACTCTAAAACAGACTTACTCTGCCATGCCCTAACTCGTTTTCCCTACCCTTAAAAATGACAGAATAGCCAACCTGTTTGCACCCTCATGATCCAGCTTCAAACACGCTCGCTGTCCTTTCTGTCTTGATTGACCTGGTTACCATTTCTGCAGTCATCAGGAAAAAGGCAGGAAGAATGAGGTATAAGGATAGAAAGCCTCTAAACTCATTGTAGTCTGAGTCAGAGTAAGGTTAGTTCCGAATGTATTATTTTTGTTACTCTCAGACCCCTATATTTCCTCTTACCATACCCAGCGAACCTCATTTTCCTCTTTACTTTCAGGTCTGCGATCAAAGCCCTGCGTCCTGGAGGCTTACTTGTGTACTCTACATGCACTCTTTCTAAGGCAGAAAACCAGGACGTGATCAGTGAAGTGCTGAACTCCGACAGTAGCGTGGTGCCTGTGGACCTTCAGGGCATCGCGGAACTTTGCTCGCCAGACTTCACATTTGCTCCCGCGGGCCCCGAGCCTGGGCTCTTGGTGATTCCAGATCAGGGCAGAGCCTGGGGCCCGATGTATGTAGCTAAACTGAGGAAACTGCAGAGATGTGCCGAGTGGTGACTTGAGTTTTGGAAACCATGGTGGTGTATTACTGTGTTTTTTCTGAGTTCTCTGCTGATTAATGTTTAATTATGCAGTCACTTTCCCAGGATCTATTTGCAGTCCTATTAAGTCAGTACTTTAGCATCTCAGAACATAGGCTTAAGAATTTTTTCAGGTGTTTATTTTCTTAGAGATACATCTGTAGCAATGATTTAGGGTGGTACAGATGGTATTTGTACTGTGTAATAAATCTGGTGTCTTTTACTTGGTATTTTATAGTTAAATTAATCAGAATGCATGGCTTTGTGCATAAAATGTTTACAACTACATTCTACCCATGGTTCTTTCCGTGGTGCTTTTAACTCTTTAACGATGCACCTTGCCAGCACGCTTCCTATTTTACTCCTAATCAGAGGTACAGATTTTCTTTGTAAGAAGTGATTGTTATTCTGAGGCTAACTTCTTAAGCAGCACACTTTGTAGTTCTAGCAAATTAGGTTTCTTATTTGCAAGGTTGTTTTCTGTTAAGAACTAACTTCTGTTTACTGCAAAGGTCAGTGACTCTATTGACACCAGGTTTATTTTCCTAATTTTGTTTTGTATTCACGAATACTAATTGAAAGGGTAAATTATGTTGAAAAGGCTTTGGAACAGCAGATTCACATGCACACATTTGACTTTCAGCTTTCAGCTTGTATAATAATGGAGTCTGTCCAGCAGGCTGTAAAGCAAGTACTTGAAGCAAAACCAGAATGATTAATAACTTCAATAACTGAACTATATTTGGAGAGTTTTGTTACATAATTGCAGTCATAATGAGCACTACAGAATCTGATTATCTTACAGTTGCAATCTGGAGGGGCTTTTTATTTCATCCTGTGATAAAATGTTATATGAGAGCGTGATGTCATGTATTAATGCACAAGACGGAAATGCCCAACCTGAGAGGGTGGCGCTGTTCCACAGCCAGTACCGTTGCCTAGCCGGCTCTTCTGTTTCTGTGTCCTGGAGCACTGAGTGTGCATCTTACGTGTATTTAAGATTTAGCTTCATTTTGGAGCATGTATTTTCTCCAACTGCCTGTCTTGAGTCCTACCATATTTTCTCAGCTAATAAGGAAAATCATGCAGCATAATTCAATGTAAATTTGAAAATTAGCTTTTTAAAATACTTTTTGATTATAGAAGTACAAACTGTTGATGAAGTTGAATATTTCTTTGTCATTTTATTGTGTTCATTTAAACTAGAGCTTATTTGCTAGTTAACTGTTTTGTGTTCTGCGAGTTTATGTGATCAGATTTAAATAACTGGGAAGTCCAAAGAGAATTTTTTTTATGTACCTTCATTCTGTTAGCAACTTTTCTGTATGTCTAACCAATGTATTTAAGTAAAGCTAGATTTCTTTCTGACCCATTCAAATATTTTGGGTTACAGAAGATTAATGACGATAGAAAAGGTTTTTGTTTTAAATTACTATTTATTGGTTTGTGTTTCCTCTTTGAAATTCTATCTTCAGATATTGTAAGTTTAAAATGTATTTTTGGGGGAAGGTTATTTAAAAACTAAATTTTCACTGTACATTTTGTTGAATGTTATTATTTTCCCTTCAAATTTGAATATTTGGTCTGATGTCAGATTAGACTTTATCTAATGTATAAAACATATTCAGCCATGGTCCATGCTATATACTGTGCATACACATACTGTGTATTACTTTATTATTAACAATACTTATAATGAAGCAGTGAACATTTACTGAGCATGGAATAGTTAATTATGTTATTTGTATATTTTCCTTTTTGCTCTTTAAACTTCCAGTTGTGTGTGTGTTAAAATCCCATTTTGTGCATGAAAAGCCCAAAGCTCAGTGCTGCTTATAGTTTGCCAAAGCTACTCTGGTAAGAGTGGAAGGAGATGGGAAGGGCAGAAGGCAGAAGGCAGTAGGAAGAATATTGTTGCATAGATATACCAATTCCCCACAGTGAATGTAATCAGTGCCTACTCCAGGCATGCACTGTTAATAAAGGAAAAGCAAGCGGAGGCAAGATTAAAATTGACTGCACCTCATGTGCCTATAATCTAAGCACTCTAGGAGACTGAGGCAGGAGGAGTACAAATTCGAGTCCGCCATATGTAACTTAGTATGACCATTTAAAAGTAAACAACTGGCTTTGCTTCTCTTCTCCATTGCTCAGCTCTCTATTTTAATGTAGTTCTCTCTGCCTGGGGCATCAAAAGACTTATTAATACCTGGGGGAAAAAACCTTAGAAATATTTCAGGGCATATTCTAAAGAATTGCATTTTTGTGATTGTAATATCCAGGGCTGTATTTCATGCTATTTTGTTTTGCAGGTACTGTAAAATGAAAATTTGAAGCAGCCTTGCAGTGTCAGTTGGAAAGCTCGGAGTAATTGATGCACTTTCTGGGCCATTGAGCTACTTTCAAAATATCTTTGCAAAAAGTTTGGTTGCCAGTACAGAACTTCTCACTGCTGTCAGCACGCTGACCAGACACTTGTGCCAGAATGTACTGTGAATACATGTAATCCATTGAAATGGCTTATGCTGAATTTTTAAAGTATTGGATATTATCCATGGTTTAAATCATGATGGCCTGTATTTTTGTTCTATTATATATATCCACAGAACCTTAAACTCATAGTTACCTATTATTCCCTTAGCACTATTGTTAAAACTTTCTTTTCATAGTACAGAAAGGTATAAAATAGCAAGTACTTAAACACTTACTACATGCAAAATATTCACAAATCTAATAGTTTCTTATCGAAGAAAACTTCATTCCTGGGAGAGAAGCACCAGGTAATTTGCGTAGACTAATTCAACTCATCTGGAATACAGAGAGGAAATTGGAGCCAATAGCTACAATTTTATTAGAAGCCAAGAAGTCCTTTGATGCAGTTGAATGGGACTTACTTGTCTTATGTGTTAGGAAAATTTGGCTTTGGGGACAGATAGTGTAGATAGCTCAATTTATTTTCAATCTATTTGTATGGTTCAAAATCAGTGGTTTATGGTCTGCCTTTCTCTTCTTTTACTGCTGTATTTGGGTGGGAAGTAAGGATGAGGCCTATTACCAGTGTTGCTTGTCAGGCTGACATTGGAGGCATAATGTCACCCAACTCCCACTGGGCATCTGAGGAATATTCAGAGGGGGATTCACAAGTTAACTGATGCATGCTGACGATCTACTACTGGTGGTGAAAGATCTAAGAGCATTTGTCCTGAAAACATTTGAAGTAATTGCAGAATCCGAATGGCTTCAGGCTGCAAAGTCAGTGGAGAGACTCTGAAACACTATCTCCTTTATCTTTCTACTAATGTTATTGTGTGACATTTAAAGTATAAACTTAGAATTGACTTGCAGTTTTCATTAGGGGATAATTAAATAATAGAGTAAACAAGTTATTTAAAAATTGACCTGTATTCCAGTGCTACACTTTAATTTTTAAAATAGTTTTCACCAAATCTAATGAAAAATAAAGCTTGGTAGGACACATTACCTCTTTAGAAAGCAATTGCTAACTCATACATTAATTCTATACCTCTGTAACTTTTTACAAATGAAGAAAGTAATTTCCGTAGTCATATGAGACCATAGAGTCATTCTGAACCCCTGGGAAATCACATGCTACCTTAGGAGGAGAACAGTTTGCCTCATCGAGAGCTATTTAATAGTATACATCATGACTCAATTAAGCTCGCTATGGTTTGTCAAAAAGAATTTTCCGCTGCATATTGCTATGGAAAAGCCTATTAAATATGGATGAATGTGCTGTCTAGGAGGACCAACAGAAACTAAAAATGTATAGCCCACTAAGAAACAAAAGCCAGGACTTTAGACTCCAGTTTTGTCCTCATATTTAAAAACAAGTGGGAATAAAACTGCATATAGTAAAAAGAGCAGACAAAATCCAGAGATTAGCAATGACAAGAGGAAAAAGCAAGAGAGGATAGCTTTAATTAGCTTATAAATATAAGGTGTGGAGTAAAATATCCCTTATTTATGCAAACTAAGTATTACCCATTTCTCCAAAATAGTCTACCTTTCCCTGCTCTGGTATTCAGTAATCATGGGCAGTAATCATGGGCAGAGGTGTACCGGAGTGAGCAGACAAAGACTTCTGGGACTAAAGAGGTGATGTTGTAGGGAAGGTGTATTGCTGGTGCATAGCTCATAGCAGCCAACTCTGAAGGAAAGGCAAGTGGGGATGTGGGGTGATAGCCAGCTCTGATGTCACTAGGAATAGTTCTATACGGTATCTTCAGTTGTGAATAGCTGGCATAATTGGCCATACCATGCTTCATGCAGTGGTTAGTCTTCCTGAACTGAACATTCTTCCTTGTAAGTCCTAGATGATAGCAAATGTGCCTAATAAGCACAATAGACACAGATCTAACTAGGTTCTTCAATAAAAGGTTCTTTATCAGCCCAGTGTGGTAATGTGCACTTGTGGTTCCAGCCACTTAGGATGCACAGTTGTGAGCCCTGCAGTGGGAGGCCAGAATGGGCAATGTAGCAAGACCCTATCTCATAAAGCAAGTGTATTTGCCATGTATCATAGTGCAGATATACCTTTTTAATCATCTGTATGAAGCTGAAGTTTTGTCCACATGTAAGTTGTTTTGAGCTATCTGTTTTGTCTAACTATGCAAGTAAGCAGATTTCTTTTCTATCCATGATGTTTGAGTTGGCAGCAGCAAGGAAATGTGATTATTAAATAGGAGGATTTGAAGTGAGATCTGAGCCATCATTTTGGGGTAAGTCCTGTGTCGAGTCGAACATTTTTCAGGAGCAGTGGATAATATAAAACATAAAGGCTTTTGACACACTATTTAGAACCAGTCCAACTGATGTTCAGGTTTTACACTCTCTGGTCTTAGTCATTTAGTGAGGACTTCAGTACTTGGTTCGTATCTTCTCCATTGGAAAGCCTACCGCACTGCAAACTAAATTCAGCGTTTCTATACAAAACCTACCCAGTTTCTTCGATTGCCTCTTCCTCAGCACCCTTGGTCTCCATTGTGTGCAGCAAATCGCATTCCTAAATGTTGCCTAGAACTTGATGTGACTGAGGACCATACTCTCAAACAGACCTCTCTGAAAGGTCGCCTACACTTTCAGGTTTCTTTCACACTCATTTTCCTGCCTGCTGCCTTGTATCTCTCAATCTGTACTTGCTATTATTTCTGGACAAGTGTTCTCCCTACAACAGAACCCGATCATGTCACTATTGTGCTGCTATAGTTCGGATTTGGAATGTTCTCCAAAGGCCCGTGTGTTAAAAGCTTGGGTTCTGGCCAGTAGTGCTGTTGGGAAGTGGTATCTGGTGTGACGTCCTTGCTTGCTCGGATAAACACATCTCCTGGTACTCCTGGTACCAAAATCTGTATCAGTCAGTGCTTGTTAGAGAAACAGGTTTAATGCAAGACATACAAATATGTGTTTATAGAAGCAGGCGTACAGTGGCCACTCACAGAGATAGCTGTGGAAGGGTTCAGAAGGTCTGTCTGTGTGCTGGGGATGAAGGATGTAGTTGAAGGCTAGCTAACGTGTCCTGTGCAAGTCCGTATCCAGAGGTCTGCGATGGGAGGTTGGTGGGGTCTGCATAGAAGCCAGGAGATGAAGTCCCAGGTGAAGGAGAAGACTAGAATTTCTTCAGGGCATCAGGTAAGCCTCTCTTCTTTGTTTTCCTTTTATTCAATTTGGGCAGCAAGTCTACTCAGCGCAGGCCTTCTGTCTTCAGTAAATCCCTAGCCACACTCAGAACTGCGCCTATCTGATTTAGCTGGGCATTTCTTACTCAGCTTCACACAGACAGTTACCTATCACAAGAAATGATAGAACCTTTGACAGGTTGAGGTCTACTGCATCATTGGGAGCCTGGCCTTCAAGAGGACTGAGAGACACCAGACTTTCCCTCTTTGACTTCCTCACCATGGGGTGGGTAGTTTGGCTGTACACCATGTACCCCCTCCCACAAGATGTGGTGCCCCCTTCCCCGCCAGGAACCTAAAAGCAACATGTCTGCCCAGTCATAGAACTGAAATCCCCAAAAAATGAAAGCCAAAATAAACATGTCTCTATAAATGACCACCTCAGGTATATGTTATAGTAATTTTTAGCTGACTAACTCACTTGAGATCCTTCAGACTAGCATTGATACTAGAGGAGAGAGCTGAGCTCTTAGCATTCTGTACTAGGCCCTTTTGCTTTGATCTGTATGTCTTTCTCTGTCTCTTTCTCTTTCTCTCTCTCTCTGTCTCTCTTTCTCTCCATCCTTTGACCCTCACTCCTATAACAGGGAGCTGTTATATTATTTTACTATCTCAAAATCTAAATAATCCTACTGAGGAAATCAATTATCACAATAGTTAAGAGGGTCCCAGCTCATCGGTTGGTATTTCTTAAATATGTTGCCACATTTTCCCTTGTACAATTAATTAGTATTCTACTGG